AGTAAGACTTGTATCACTAAATTATTATCTCCAAAAAATTCTTACAATCTAATATTATTTTCTGGCTTTATCTCACCTGCAAACAGTTGATCAGCCGCAGAAAACGAATCATTTAGTGAATCACTCAAAGACAAGCATGTCTTCTAGATTTATTTATATTCTCTGGAATATAAATGTATAGAAACTACAGTGGCCGAAAAGTGGGGGATCAGTTTATATAATGACTGTAATCTAAAATAGACCCCAACTTTATATCCACATTATGATTTCTTGTTTATTTATCAAATTCTGATCATGTAGGAATCCGCCTCACCCCCACCCAGCTGTGGGTTAATTAGTAACACTTGTATCACTAAATCATTATCTCGAAAAGCAATTCTTAGTGTCTTAATTTATTTCTGCCTTTAAATAACCTGCAAACAGTTGATAAGCCGTAAAAAACGAATCAATCATGGAGTGATTGATGATTTTTGTATGGCATTGGTAGGAAGGACTTGGTCTTCAGCTAAAATTAAGCTTTCAGTTTCACGTTTCACCACGTCCCAGGCATAATCCTCGATGCTACTTTGTCGTTCAAAACTTATTTTGATAAAGGCCCAATAAATTATTAAAAACGCCTGTTGAAAATAATTTCAAAATCGATATTAATGATTGAAATCATAACCAATTAATCATATAATATCGATTTATCATTGCCACCGTTTCGGCGGTTGTTTTTGTTCCTGGTTTTAGTGAATTTACGAAGACTCTGATAAGATCGATGGTAAAATGTCAGAAACAGAAAGAATGTCCCAATCTACAATCTGATTTGTCATTTTATTGAATTGCCACCAAAAGGCAACGCACGGTTTCCTAAAATCGAAGCCACACGCCGGGAGCTTGAAACTTAGATTATGCTAAGCTGTTTAGCGTTTCGAATAATTTATAAAAGAATATATAAAATCAATGGAAACTGTCAGTCTCCGAATTGTTTGTCCGTTACTTCGTTCAAAGCAAAGTGCCGCCGGAGCTGCGTGTTACTTAGAAAGTGCAACCAGCTAAAATATTTAATAATTCATACTTGTCACAATATTTGTTCCTTTTATTTTTAGGGTGAATACGTTAGTCGTATTAATATATTCCATCATGAAAAATGATATTAAAATATTTTGCTGGTGAAATGATGTTCCTCGTGAATTTTAAGCTCAATAAATCCATTGGGGCATCCAGCAATGGGTTGCCTGCAATTTGACAATTATTTGGTAGACAGAATAAAGATCCAGTTACGTTCTTTGTTGTTAGATGAGTTATCAACTAGAAAAATAGCGAATCTATTCACTTTATTTTTAGATATCTTAATCCAGATCGATTGAGTTGATTTCTGACATTTGGTGCATCTGAAAAACCACCTAAAATCCTGCGTCTGCAATATTTTGAAAACAGGGCAGGAATCTGCAATATTTGAGAAGGAGGCAGATGTCTACAATATTTCAGGAGGCAGTCGTCTGCAACATATCAAAAAGAGACAGCAACATTTGAGGAGGAGACAGACGTCTGCAACACTTGAGGAGACAGACAGACGTCTGAGACACTTGAGGAGACAGACAGACGTCTGCAACACTTGAGGAGACAGACAGACGTCTGCAACACTTGAGGAGACAGACAGACGTCTGCAACACTTGAGGAGACAGACAGACGTCTGCAACACTTGAGGAGACAGACAGACGTCTGCAACACTTGAGGAAACAGACAGACGTCTGCAACACTTTTGCAACGCTTGAGGAGACAGACATCTTTAGAACAGAAGACGTCTGATGAGAAACAGACAGACGTCTGCATATTTGAAAACAGACGTCTGATAAAAATGATGTAGATTTTTGCAACATTTTAGAACAAGACTGATGTTTTCTATATTTGAAAATGAGATAAAAATATACGCAACATATATATATATATATATATATATATATATCCAGAAAGTATTCATCATAGGCTGTATCAACAACGAACAATTTTCCTTTGATCTCGCTTTATTTTATGAGGAACATTTTCTCGTAGCCTTGTTCCTAGAGAGGTAGCAAGAAAAGATAACATCAGATGCTGGAATAAATATGAGAGGAGGGGATATGCACCTTTGATCCTTTCTAACTTTTACAGACACCTGAGTCTTTTCTCGTCATTTTGGTCTCATAACAAAACTTAAGCAAAAGTAATTTATCAAATGTCAGAATTCTATGATATTTCAACGACTGCCACTCATTTCGTGCCATAAGAGTCCTGACTAATAATTTACTATTCTGGACCAGCCTACATATTCTGTAACAAAATGATATACAGCTGTTGTAGTAAAACTAAAATTAATGCCGATCAACATATAACCATTCTTTCTAACAACATGAGGCATGTACAACAACCTACATTATGTAGAGTAACTCTTTGTCTACAACCTCGGACTAATTTAAAATGGTCTCCATTGCGCGATTTCTGAAATTACATTCGTACACCTAGCAGCCTTTCATAATACAGATTGTCTTTTCAATTAGTTTCACTTTATTTCAAATATAAATCTCATAATTTTCAGTCTTAATTTCTGTGATGAGGAGTTATCATTATTTATATTATTTATATTCTGACCATTGTCCTCATCTTTGTTGTTTTGATTGTTATCACAACGTTTCATTCGGAGTGCCCTCTTGCCTTCATCAGGATGAATTCCATGTAGATTACCCAGCACCATATACAAATGATGAAGGCCTGAGTGCCCAACGGCCGAAACGTTGTATAACAACAAAGGTTAGCACAATAGTCTCAATGTAAATTGTGTAAATAAATCTCACCCGTTCTTGCCTATATCATAAGTAATTTGTGATCTGTCTGTGTATAGTATCAGTGGTACACCCTCCTTGGTCAAAACTTGATGACTACACTTTATTTTTGTTTCGTTTTTTTGTTGTTTTTTGTTGTTTTTTTGTTGTTGTTTTTTTAGTTTTGTTTTTCTTTCTTCAGTTATTCAACACACGAAGGAAAATATCTTTAATTATATACGAACTATTCTATCTATGTTGTAAAAACATAATAATTCGATTGTGGAATAATTCGTCATGGTTAAATGCTATTGACAAAATTCTCAACGAACAGTAAGTAAATGAAGAATAAGAACAGGACAAAATAATGCTAAGCAAGTAATATATATGCAGTCAAAACGAGGCAAAGCAAAGGTAATAAGTTATAATTCAGTCAGAATTGCGTTGACATGCAAAAAGAATACACTCAAATGATTGTAGCGCTCTGACTTCGACAGAATAAAAAAAAAAGAAATATGGCAGACGAGACTGAGTATTATCCGTTTTTATTGGTTAATCACAGCATGCATCTATAAGATAAAATCTATAAATTTGAAGGGGAATTATTTACATTATTCGGTCATTGTCCTCATCTTTGTCGCGATATTTATTACAACGTTTCGGCCGTTATATGCTCCGGCCTTCTTCAGGTGGTTGGAATGTCAAACTGAACCCTTTATTTTGCTCACTGGGGTAGACTGTTCTAGTTCCACGTGCCATGTCTAATGGATGTCAGTTATCAGTTATCTCCTGCTTTTCCTTAGAACCTAATATTATTGTTGGTGGAAACCCCCGCATATTCACAGAATCGCAAATACCTTCCACGATTTTTATAACATTTTTCGTGATAATATATATTTTTACGCCTTTTAACCGTACATTATTAATGATTAATTATTAATATTGTATAGGAGTAAAATGTCGCTGCCGACACAGTAGTTTGAACACAGATCACCAGAGAGCCAACACAGGTGATCCAATTTTGAATATATCACATAATAGTAGAATATATATATATATATATATATATATATATATATATGTGTGTGTGTGTGTGTGTGTATATTAATTGATTTAAAATATGGGTTTTTTTCGCTACACAGTTCTAACCATGTTTCAAAAATGGAAGCTAAAAGCTTCGAATTTAATTTTGTAATTAAATTAAAGACGTTAGTTCCATTTCATCCTCAAGAGAATTTTGGAATTCGCTTGAGGATGAAATGGAACTAAAAGTCTTTAATTTAATTTTAAATTCGCTCTGAATTTGGCAACCGCTCTGATAAGGTTTTTTTTTTTCCCTGGTGCCCTGACGACATAAATTTAATTGTACTACTAGATTGGCAACCAAGAATCTCCCATTTACTGTTGAAATAGCTAAATGCAACTGCCACTTCTACTGCAAAAATTTCTTTTCTCTCACTTCTCACCTGTGGAACTATTTAACTGCTTACCTGATAAATACAATCTTCAAAGATTTCAATGCAATGTCAATCGACATCTTCAATCGTTTATCTTTTGTCCTTTTCTCAGTGCTCCCTATACTCAGACTTTTCTCCCACTGTAACCCCCTCCCCCTGTTTACTAGTACCAATTTCCACTTCCTTAGGGTGAAATGAGATTATATATATATACACACACACACACACATACATACATACATATACACACACACATACATACATATATATATATATATATATATATATATATATATATATATATATATATATATATATTTAGTTTATGAAAAAACTAGGTAATCCGTATGGGTAAACCTAAGGAGGATAAAATCCAGAGAGCTCAATGTAAATTTAGAGCAAATAATTTAAATAAAAAGGTTGCGGTGAAATAATTTATTACATCGAACCTTAAAGTGGTCTGTTTTTATTTAAATATATTTACGTTATATTTTGTCGTTTATGGGCATTTTTTATGGATCACATCCTATATTCGCGGTTTTTCTGTCTTTGCTGGTGCTACGATTTTCAAAAAATTACATCCACACTGGTAGTAGAGGCAGTACTGAAGAGTTTTACTAATTAATCCGTAGTGGTTATTTAGTAAGACTCTTAGAAGAGGTCGATTTTCCTACTAAGTGAATAGAACCCAACCAGAATTGGAACTGGGCTCTCCGATTAAAAATTCCGAGACATTATCCCCACCAACCATACATCCAAGCTTACATCACCTAGTATTCCCAAACGGTCTCCCATGTAAGTACTGACCAGGATCGATGTTGCTTAACTTCGGTGATCGGTGTTTCAACGTGATATGGCCGTAAGTTTCGATCGTTTTGGCTGAAATATAGTGCTTGTTTTTGTTATACACAAAGATATATAAATAATTGTAGATATATTGGGTTGTAGGTTTCCTTATGTCTTGTTTTCATTCTAATACAAAAATATTTAATTTTCGGTATATTGTATCGTATCTCGAGTAATACAGAAGAGGTTTGTTAAACAGATCAAAACAACGTCTACTGTAGCGGCAATTTCTAAGCGATTTTAAATACAAGACAACAAATCGATAAAAATGTTTTTGTAAACACCAGTTTTTGTTAATATTGACACATATGCACATGATTATTATTATCAACCATTGTGAGTTGACTGCAGCAAACATATTTTCGAGATTCCTTCCATGACAACAATGACTGTACAGTTCTGTGCAATGTATTGGCAGCAAACTCTGCTCTGACATTAGTTTATCTTCTGCCTGGTCTTTTCCTAAACGTTAGCTTTCAGTTGGGTACCCAGCCACGAATGAACCAACCTTTTACTTCACCAGCAATCCTCCCTTTTCTTTCAACCATTATAAATCGTTTTATTTTCTTTTTATTTTACATATTTATACATACATACATGCACACACACACACACATATATATATATATATATAAATACACATACAATGTCCACTGTTGCATCTAAGTGCTGACTTCAATTTTCACACACACACACACACCTACTATATGTAACTATAACAACAAAGACATTTCGATTTCATTTTTGTCTTGAAAAAGTCGGAAGACGGAACGCGTCGGCAAAACCACAGAATTGACCTGGGAATTTAACTGTATTGTCGACATGGAAAAAATCTCTTAGTATAAAGAAAATTTGCATTAACCATAAAAAGTCTTAGACAGAAGCGTCTATCTTTTTAAATTTGGATTTTTAATGTAAGTATAACAACAAAGATATTTCGATTTCATTTTTAACTTGGAAAGACGAAACGCGTCGGCAAAATCTAAGATTTTTTTCTAATTGTCATTTTATACCATATATATATATATATATATATATATATATATATATATATATATATATACATAAAATGATAGAAATGATGGGGAATTTGAATAATCATTGTAGTAATTCAATGAGTCTAGAATAAACCTCAACAGAATGCAGAAAGCACTGGATGGCCGTTTCGTCCTACTTGGGAATCATCAGCAGTGCGCATCCACTACCGAGAATCGAACCCGGACCGTTACGATACAACGCAAACGTCATACTGGGACTCAGTGACGAATAAGAAACTGACTAGACTCGATATAACGCCGCTACTCAAAAATTCCGGGATGATAATCATCCAAGTATTCAAACCCAACGGGTTGTATCCCAAGAGAGCTCCAATGGACCAACTAAGGGGAAAGGAAGACATTACTCTTGCGGAATGTGTGAGTAGCGGCGCTATATCGAGTCTAGTCAGTTTCTTTTTTCATCACCGAGGCCTGTTGGTCCAGTGGTATGTGTCAACAAGTTCAACTCGCAGATTCTAACACAGCGAACTCCCTCCCGCTCACGAACCTCAAAATGTCCTCCACTCCTTAAGAAAAGCAACGACTTTTATTGAGGTGGTAAATTTTTCGATTGGTTGCTAGAGTCGGAGAGGATAAAAAATTACCATATGTTAGGCAATAATTATCTACGTTTTGTTATTTTTTTTTCAGCAATCTGTGCACAGGATATGAACTCTTTTGTGGCGATAGGCGATTTTTTCGTCTGCCACAATAATCTATACCCATAAAATATTTATCTGCATTTAGACAAAATTAAATTTATTCCAACGTTTCTTAGATTGCAGTTTTATCTGTTCAAGCCTTTCATGTGAGGTACTCAGATACCTTTATCTATTAAGTGATCGTCTTGCTTCAACTCGGTCCTAAAATAGGCTTTGCCGACATAGCTTTTGTCATTCTATTGTTAATCTTTTTTCTTCCGGGAGATATTTCTATTTCACTCTTATATTAAACACATATTTTTAACATGAACAGATATTGGACAAAAATGATTTATATAATACCAAGAATAATCAATGGATCCTTAATACTACTGTAGTTAATTACAAGAAGCAATGACTTTCAAACAAATATATCACGGGTTTTTTATTAACGTTGTCGCAGAAAATGCATCAGCCACTAGATGTATTTTATTTGAATATATGGATTATGGTATCCTAGGTTCAACGTACTTTTATCCTCTAAATATATAACTGAGTAACTATTTTAAGATAAATTTAGTGCTAATATTGTAGGTGTAATTATAAATTCACATATTATTTAAATATATTTTAGTTTTGCATTGCTATCCAAGATTCAACACAAATGTGTTCTATAAATGCAAAATTAAATATAAATAATTCCCTATGTATTTTTTTGTTTTTACCATTTCACCCCAAGCAAGGCGGGAGTGCCACTAGCACGCAAGGGGTTACAGAAGGTAGAGAACAAGAGTAAATAGGCCTGTTTGAGGAGAGGATAAAGAGAAGGAAGGTTTGGTTTGGTTTGTTTTACGGCATATCAACCTCAATGGGTCATTTACTGCCGACAACTTTTTTCTTGGTAATATTTTTGTTTTGTCAAAAATCCATTTCTGTTAATATTTTTTTTCTCAAAAACGTATAGCTGGTAATATTTTTTTTCAAAAACGTATAGCTGGTAATATTTTTTCTCAAAAACGTATAGCTGGTAATATTTTTTTCAAAAACGTATAGCTGGTAATATTTTTTTTTCAAAAACGTATTATCAGAGGCCTTGCTGTTGGATGTAGTTTATCGTCTTACCCAGGACGCGAGTGTAGTTTATTGTTATACCCAGGACGGGGGTGTAGTTTATCGGCATATCCAGGAGAGAAGGAAGAGGAACAAGATCAAGGTATCAGGAGATGTCGATTGACATTACAATTGAATATTTGAAGATTATAGTTATCAGGGAAACAAGCAAGAGGAAAGGAGTTCCATAGACGGGCGAGAGAAGAAGCTTTTAGAGTAAAAGAGGGGCGGGGTTACATTTAACCTTTTCAGCGGTGAAAGGGTGGGAGCTAGATGCCAATCTAGTATTTTGTTTTGTTCTTTTATGAAAATTGTGTTCAGCGAATATCACAAAATGGAAAATCACCTTGAAGAAAAGAATGGCTTAGAACAAGGGCGAAAACATAGGAAGCGATTACACCTGATTCTCAGGATGAGATAAAGTCACGGCAGGAGTCTGATAGGCAAAGATATTCACAGACATCAGTGGAACGCCGTGAAGCAATAAGAGCAGTAAACGAGGAGATCAGGCCTACGGGAGAGAGATAGCGACAAAGAGAGAGAGAGCGAATCGCAAAAACGACGAAATGAAAACAGAGGAAGAAGCTAATGCAAGGAATGCTACTATGAGAGAAAATGTGGCTCAGAGGATTCAAAATGAAACAGAATGAATCTCATGCAAGAAAAGAAAATAGGAGAAAGAAAATTTGACAAGAAAAAGAAGAGCAACACAACAGGAGGTGGAATAAGAATATTGGGGCCAAGAGAAATTCACAAAAGAGTATGAATAATCTCCTGTTCAATGAAGCCAATTATCAATAACATAACTTTGACAATAAAAAATAAACGGGTACTAATATATATATATATATATATATATATATATATATATATATATATATATATATATTATAAATCGCTCACGTACATTCATATCTGCTCATGGCGTATCAAATGTAAACAAATGACGTCACACATTATGAAATGGACAAAGTCCGACAATTATTTTAAGACATTTTTTTAATGTTTATACATTCTTTTTATAGATACAAATATTTAAGTAAATGCTCTGTTTTATAATAAACAGTATTAAACAACATTTACCGGCCTGAATGTCCGAGAAATTTTCATAGAAAATATTCGTCCTCCGACAGGAATCGGACCTATATCCTATACGGAACCGCCATATAGCCTGACGTGCCTTTTAACCGATTTGGCCACAGAGGAACGTTCGGTTAGCAAGGTCGAATTTACTTTTAAACTACAATCTCCTAGGAATCACTCACGTACATTCATATCTGCTCATGGCGTATCAAATGTAAACAAATGACGTCACACATTATGAAATGGACAAAGTCCGACAATTATTTTAAGACATTTTTATGTTCATACATTCTTTTTATATTTAAGTAAATGCTCTAATAAACAGTATTAAACAACATTGACCGGCCTGAATGTCCGAGAAATCTTCATAGAAAATATTCGTCCTCCGAGAGGATTCGAACCTGTATCCTATACGGAACCGTCATATAGCCTGACGTGCCTTTTAACCGATTCGGCCACAGAGGAGCGTTCGATTAGCAAGTTCGAATTTACTGTATTTGAACTTCAATCTTCTATGAATCTCTAACGTGCATTCATATCTGCTCATGGCGTATCAAATGTAAACAAATGACGTCACACATTATGAAATGGACAAAGTCCGACAATTATTTTAAGACATTTTTATGTTTATACATTCTTTTTATAGATACAAATATTTAAGTAAATGCTCTGTTTTATAATAAACAGTATTAAACAACATTTACCGGCCTTAATGTCCGAGAAATTTTCATAGAAAATATTCGTCCTCCGACAGGAATCGGACCTATATTCTATACGGAACCGTCATATAGCCTGACGTGCCTTTTAACCGATTTGGCCACAGAGGAACGTTCGGTTAGCAAGGTCAAATTTACTTTTAAACTACAATCTCCTAGGAATCTCTCATGTACATTCATATATGCTCATGGCGTATCAAATGTAAACAAATGACGTCACACATTATGAAATGTTGTTTAATACTGTTTATTATAAAACAGAGCATTTACTTAAATATTTGTATCTATAAAAAGAATGTATAAACATAAAAATGTCTTAAAATAATTGCCGGACTTTGTGCATTTCAAAGCCCAAATCTACCAATTTCAGGTCAGCTCCCTTACACTGAAACGCTTGTTTTCAAAAACTTCCATAACTACAACAGATAAA